TTGCTTCAAATGCATAGAGAAAGCAATCGTGTTCTAAGAAACACAAACGACCTAAATCTCCATCATATCCTTTCTTACTTATGTTACTTCCCTCCACTAGTCAACCACTTATGCTGAAAAGGATGCATAGAAGCAAAGAATAGGGGAGCACACAGTTCCTTTTCCTTTCCTTACTTGTCAGAAAGCCAAGCTCAGTAGAGAGTGTGCATATAAAGTATGGATACGAAGAACTGAAACAAAAACAGTTGAGTTCGCTTTGTCAGCATTTCCACTGTTCTACAAAGACTAAACTACATGTTCATGTATAAGCTGCAAAATGCGAATTGTGTAGTTTATCTGATTTCACATACAAGTTAAGTGCTCTAATATTTCCATTTAAAACTGGCATTGCACAATATAAAGATGAATAGTAAAATTCATGCCAATCATTTAAAATTTTAATTTTCTTGTAGTGACATTATATAGCAAATAAAAACACCATGTCAAGTCAAGAAAGAGAGAGAGATCATGAAAGAAAGGAAAAAGCTTTACCTTTTAAGACCTTTAATGACACTTTTCCCCTGCTTTTTTAAGGAGCCCCACATTTTTGTTTTGCACTGGGCCTCACAAATTATGTAGCTGGCCCTGGTCCCATGGCTTTAAGACATGTCCACAAGCACTGATAAAGCTGATTCCCATGCCAGGCCTTTTCCCAGTGTGACTTTTCTCTAGGCCTCTCACACCCCTGTCTTGGGGCTTCAGTTGGGATCCATAATGGATATAATCTGCCCCTTTGGTAAAATAAACAAAAAAATCGCCCAAACATAGCTCTAAATGAATGGGAAAACGGAGGAAAAATGATGTGGTAGGGGCTTATCCAAAGTCACAGGGTATGCCAGGGACAGAGGCGTAAGCTGACTACCATCTAGCCTTCAGATCCAATGCCACGGCCTGTTGGCACCCATCTCCACTGCTGGCATTTGAGTCTTGAACATCATTTGAAAATATCAACAAAGTCATTGTGCGCTGCAGCCTTTTGATCACACCCCAGCTGGAGCCACCACAACCCCACAGGAACAGATGTAGAGCAAGAGGCTCTGCCCTTAAGAGGTTCTGCAAAGAACATTCCAAGGCCCCAGGGGAGTCCTGTGTCTTGTTCAAGGTCAACAGGAGTTGATCAACAGGCCAATACATGCTTCTTTTGCAGCCTTGGTAAGGATTAGCTTTCTACATCTCCCCAGGCAGGTCAGAATGTCTTCTCTAATCATCATATCAAAGTCACTAGAAATTCTGAAGGAACAGGAGGCTTCCCATCTCTTTCCTTGAATTTCTTTCTTTTTTTATTTTTTTTGTGAGCAAGATCAGCCCTGAGCTAACATCCATGCCAATCTTCCTCTTTTTGCTGAGGAAGACGGGCCCTGAGCTAACATCTATTGCCAACCCTCCTCCTTTTTTTCCCCAAAGCCCCAGTAGATAGTTGTATGTCATAGTTGCACATCCTTCTAGTTGCTGTATGTGGGATGCCGCCTCAGCATGGCCGGACAAGCGGTGCGTCGGTGCACGCCCAGGATCCGAACCCGGGCCGCCAGCAGCGGAGCGCGCGCACTTAACTGCTAAGCCACGGGGCTGGCCCCTCCTTGAATTTCTTGGAGGATAAGACATGCAAAATCAAGTCTTGCACCACTGGCCAGATCCCTCCTAATCAGAAGGAACTCCAAGCCATAACAGACCACAACCACCGGCACTTTGAAAATTGCCTGCACACCCTTCATATGGTCCCCTCAGGTCATCCAAATGGATTTTTAGATGAGTATCTCTTAGCACATTCTGGCTGCCCCCTTGCTATTCTCTTGGAGACTTCCATGCAGAGCACAAAGGTCCACTGGGCCTGCGTTTCCTCCAGAAGCCTCACAACAGCCTTTTGTTTAGTGCTGAGATGCCCTTAGCAACACAGCCTAATCCTCCAGGTACTTCTGGGCTAGTCCAAGTTCCTTCTAAATGCCAACCTCTCCCTCTATGCACAGCTGTGTACAAGGACAGATCCTTGAGAACGAACATCTTCAGACTGCCCCACCTGGAGCCAGCTGGGCTGCTCAGCCAGTGCTGCAGCCCCAAGGGAAGGATCAGTTGCCCTTTGCCAGAATGAACTTGCAGTTGCTGTCTCCTTTCTTTTAGCAGGCACAAGGTGGAAAGGAAATCTTATGGACCACATTGCACTGTTCTGCTCTGACAACAACAACCGGGATCATCTTTCCTTCCCTTTCCATCAAATGATAGTTGTAAAGACACATTTAAAAATTTTGTCACCATTTAAAATCATCTTCACAAAAATATTTTAACAAAATGTAAAAATGCTTCTGACCTGATGGTAAGTTGGAATAAAAGCAGCATACAGAAAGTCCTTAGCTTTGTAAACAGTTCACATTTATGTATAGAAAAAAGTACAGGAAGGAAATAGATCACAATGGATTTCTTTAGGTGGTGGGATTAAAGGTAATTTTGTATTTTCTTCTTTAAAATTTTGGTATTTTCTAAAAGAAAATACATTTTGTAAGTATGTATTACTTTTATAATCCAATGAGAAAGGATATTTTCCTATTAGCTAGGATTTCTGAGGTAGTAGTAACGGATTTTGTGCATCATCCCAAAGGAAACCAACATCAGGCTTTACTCTTTCTCCAGATGACTTCTACACAGATCCCTTCTCTTGGTTGGATTTTCCACACAGGATACAGATTTTGGCTTGACAAGGCTGCTCAGCTCATAATCACTCTTCTTTTTTTTTTTTCTTTTTTATGTGAAACTTGACAATATTTGGAAATAGCCCTAACAGAGCCTTGAATCAAGGTACCATATTTCTTTCTCTTGGTTACCAGGGCTGAGAGCTCCTAACAGAATTTTCCAAGTGGAAGGCTCTGGAGCCCACCTGAGACTGGACTCAAGGGAGACAGAGGCCTAGAGGATGCTGACTTCGTGCATCAAGGTGTCATGACAAGACATTGATTTTGGAGTTGAATGGCTCCAGAACCTCGGGGTTCTTTTCTCTGCAAAACTGATGATCATATTTCTTTAATCGAGTTGTTTTAAAGGTTAAAAAAGATACGTACAGTGCCTAGCACAGCGCACACAATAAATCATTAATACTAATAAGTGGTGAGCACTGGAGAAGGCAGCAGAGGGGAAAACCGGCTGTTGCTACTTTCTAGTCTCTCACCACTGAAGTTTTCCAAAGTGTGTGGGGGGCGGGGGTGGAAGTGGAGGAGCTGTCCAGATCTTAGCCCCGCCTGGACTGGGCTGGACCAACCGAGGACGCATCTTTGGTTTCACCATGGAAATGTAACCACTTCTGGAGTAAAAGATAGGCAGTGCTAGCCACAGGCCAGCAGCCAAAAGCATGGGGTGAGGGGCAACCCTTGAATGCCCATGGATAATACTAAATAGAGGACTCCATTACTGCTCTGAAGTCATCGCATTACTGATCCAGAGGGCCTCTTCCTCCTCCCATGACCACTCTGCCCTTTAACTATTCATCAGGCAGTAGCGAGTACGCCAGAGACTTACGGGAAATAAAAGGAATCAAGCTGTAGCTTGTGATGGATTGAAATATTCCACCTTTGCTATAAACTAGTACTTTATCTGCTGCCATTGTTACTAGTACTGCTATCAGTACCTCCATTTCTACAACTGCTCTACCACTATTACTAGGGATCCTCTAAGTTCGTAAACTACAACGTAAACGTGCCTGGCTTTAAAAATGATACTGGACGTGGCATTATGGGAAGGCAGAGGTAGGCTGGCACAGAAACCTCAAAGGGAACAGAGCAGATCTGCATTTAGGAACAGACCAGAATTACAGATATTTCTTTTTCATCCCACAACTGCCTGGGCCCCAGACACAGCCTCCATCCCCAGCCACACCCAGTCACTCTCACAACCCTACCCTACCCCAACTGTTCATAGCTAGTTTAGGCAATTTCAAGGGTTAGGGACTAGGAGTGATGACCTTTTATTTGGTCAGAGGAGCTAGACCATGCCCAAATCCCACCAAATGGAGTGGGCAAAGAGGAGAGAATGCTTTTCAAATATAAGGCCATTGCCTCTGCCAATATCTTCCACATTCTCACAGGAAAGCCCTGGAGAGACCCAGACTCTTCCTTTTTTAGGGACTTTAAATTTTCCTGTGCCAAAGTTAAATTTTTAAAAATGCCTGACTTAGACCTCAATGCCCAAAATGAACTCTGGAATGTATACCTCACCTTCTCATCCCAATAGAAGGACCCTCTTTCGCTTCACACCCAACAGCCAGCTGGTGTGAGGACCAGTACTACCCGGAGCGAGAAGGAGGCAGCGAGGGGAGCGAGAATGTAGCACAGCTCAACCACGAACTAGCTTCCCTTTGAGATCACTCTCTTCACCTGGCAACCGGGGGCCCCAGCAGATCTCAGAGAGAAGAAAGTGGCATTTTGGAATCCATTTTGCTCAAGATGCTGAAGGCATCGTGGCAAACTGCCCTTGCTACCGGGGCCAAAGGAACTTGGGGGAGGACCTTACCCATAGGGATGCGGTCAGTGGGGGGAAGGTGAGGGCGAGCTCTGGTGCCAATGATACCTGAAAAGAGCAGCCACCGGGCACGCGGTGGGTGCGGGTGGCCCACTCTGGGCGCTGCGTCCCGCATTTGGACCCAGGTCCACCAGTGAGCAGCAGCAGTCGCCGCCAGGCCAGGTGGGTCCCCTTCTGACTGTCCACTTATTTATAGGTGAGATTTACAATGGATGCGGCGGAAGGGACGCGGGATGACAACGAGTTTTGGAAGGTATAATCCTAAAAGTCACACTTTTTCCAAAGCGCCCCCCTCCCAGGTTCTCCCTCCAGAGCAGCTCGGTCCCAGCGGGGGAGGATGCCTCGCGGGCGCCGCAGAGGTCGGCTGTGAGCCGGAGGGCCGGGTACCCGGGACCCGCGCCGAGCGGGAGGCGGGCAGGGCAGGGGCAGGAGGGGCCGGTGCGCGGCGCGGCGCAGCTCACCTGCCAGGCTGTTGTAGCAGTCGATCTCGATGGCTTCCACCGTCTTGCTCTGCTCCTCCGAGAGGCGGCCGGGGTTGGGGGCCCCAGCCGGGGAGGCCGCGCGCGAGTCCCGCTCCCGTTCCCCGGGGACCGGCAGCAGCCCCTTCAGCTCCAGCAACGCCCGGTGGTATTTGCCGATGGCTTCGCGGAATTTCTTGTCCTTGTAGCACTGCGCCCCTTGGCTCTTGAACTCGTGCGCGCGCCGGATGAACTCGGCGG